ACAAACCTACAATCAGTCTTCTTTCTCACCTACTAAGATTTTCAAAAACATGCAAATAATTGAAAAGGATAACTGATGATGCAGATGTCCTGTAATTACTTCAGGAATTATAGAGGATTATATCATAAGCAACACCACCAGAAGTGACAAAAACATAAAAGGAATGAAGACTATAATGGAAGCTACAACTGAGACCACCAGCTTGAGAAAGGATAAATAACAGAAAGACAGCATAATTTGCAAAATATGTCAACAAGAAGGCCAACTACATTCTGAGTCATTCTAAAGATGAGCAAAAACAATTCCTCTGTAAGCACAAGTCCATTATTTATGACAGCTCTAGCAATAAAAAGCACACTGTTTAGATGGGCTATTGATCAGGAACTCTGTGTGCATGTTAAATAGTATGGCTTAAAAGAATAATAAAGGTTGATAAAAGATGTGCATCCTGAACCTTTTTATTCTTTATAGTCTTTGTATTTTCTATTAATACATAAAATTTTATTGACCCTATCTACTTGTGGCAAGCTACCTTTAAGCAAGCAGATAATGATTAATGATTAAAATTACAATCAGTTAAAAAATAAAACACGAAAGTACTAGCCCAAACACATTGGGCTCTGAAGACTCAAGGTGCTGCAACACTTTCTTTTTTTTCCAACTTGAATCCCATATAAGCCCCTTCTTCAATTYTTATTCTGAACAAAATTCAATCTAAATTCATTCCTATAATAGCCCTACCTAGACCACAGAACGATATTTCTTCTTTACCATTCCACACTTTTCCATTTCTGCAAATGGGTCTCAACTGATCATAAAAAGATTCAAGACCTGGATTTCCCAGATTTGGAGAACAATGATCTTATACTGAACCTGACGACTACAGTGGAAAGATTCTATTTGGACTAGGTTGTAAAAATGAGCCTAACCACCATTCTCAGTTTCATAAGCAAATAGACCACAGATAGACCACAGCTGTCAGAGGTTTTTTGTTTGTTTGATGACTTTAAAAATTCTGTTCTGAAACAGTTCTTCATTCCTGTTTTTTCCACCAGTATCTCCTAATTCCATATAAAAAACAGGCTCCTGGGGAGGAAAGGTATCACTTCTTCCGTTACTTGATGGCCTCCTCCTTAAATAATTATCTTAACAGCTACTGGGGCAGGGGCAGAAAGAGAGAGAAATACTATAGTCAGAGCAGGCTGATTTCTTGCAGCCCTGTGTTAATAAGAAGTCCAGAGGCTGTGAATAAAAATAATGAGGTAAGATAAATCCCGAGGAAATCTGATCAGAAATAATACCAGCTAAAATAAATAACAAACTAGCATCTGAACCATGACATTGGTTTCAAAAAATTCAGCCAGAGCAAATTAGAATGAGTATTCCATTCAGGAAGAAATCTATCCCTTTTGTAGGAATCATTTTCTTTGAGGAGACAAGAAATGACTCTTGGGCACAGGGATTAAAAAAGTTTAAATTGTCAGGTAGAAATTACTTCCTATATTCATTTGCCTCCTGATTTATGGGTTTCTATACAAGTATTGCAAAACTATGAAAAGCACAGGAAAGAAACCAGTCTTACGCAATCAGCTGATGCATATTTCTCAAAGATTCTGTCAGACAGGTATTTGCCAAAAGACAGCAGTAGTGTCAAAAAGCAAGGCACAGTTTATCTTCTTTTCAGCACCATCTTATTTTCTTAAAGCAATTCATAGAAAGCATTAATTAAAAAAATAAAATAAATGGGCAGAGCCACCAGGGAGTTAACTGCTTGCCACCAAGCATTTCCTCTTTGAAGGCACCTATATTTCTAAGGAGCCCAGGGATGATGTTCAAGCTTTCAGAATATTGAGAAATTGGAGGAGCTAAAAAATAAATAAATAAATAAATAAATAAAAATCATCTTTTCTCACCAGGGAAACTGTTGCTCTTTATCAGCAAGTCTGCCATCACTGCTGACATTTCTCTTGAAATATATGAACGTAGAAACCATTTTAAAATTTTCATTTCTATAGCAATCACAATAGATGGCAAGGCACAATGACTGGATGAAGATGTAAACAAAACTAGGCTTCTTTATGATTGTCAGAAACTGCGCCTTCCTTACATGAGGAAATGTCAATGATTTCAATCTGCTTCAATATAATTAGTTGGTTATTTGAAAAACAGGAAAAACAGAACAGCAAGTCAAATGACAAAACTCTTCCCCCAAGCAGGTTCTATTTTTTTAGCACCTTTGTAAAACAGTAGATTTCACAAACACACACACACACACAAAAAAAAAAAACACCCAACACCCCCTGCCCCCCAAAACACATGCTTTTCATCAGTCCTTGGACAATAAGAGAAAAAAAATTGAGATGGAAAGCAAGCTTCTAGCTGGAATAAGATACTTCCCTCCTGCTCTCTTTGAAAGAAATGTAATAGCATTAATGGCAGGAATCTGTCATGCTATTTTGGCATGCACTACAGTTCCATCACTAACAGAAAAACAGCTTTGTTAAAACAAAATTCTTCTCTAACATATGCAGGATCAGGAGAGAAAGGGGAGCAAGGAGTCCCATACACTTTCTCTTGTAGGAATTACACTATCTGTACAATCCTCTTGCTTAGTTCCTGAAAGATTTTTAAGTCATTGGGTTATTGAATTAAGGCTTACACAACTGCTTCACATGAAGAATGACAGGTCTCTGGATAACAGAAATATTCACATTCTTTTAGGTCCTCATGCTATTATTCCTGAGCACAATGTACTTTAAATAGAAAAGATCTCTAACCCTGCACAGGATGCTTCAAGTATGCATGACATAGTAATTTTTGTGCTTGGATCACAGCTGCTGCTTAGTACATGTAAACATGTTCTGTGGAGAAAGAATGACAATCTGCTCCTGCAAGGATCTCCRTAAAATATAACTCCTATCAAGATCAAACTCAAATAAATATTTTGGAGGATAGGTTTGTAATACATTTCAATTGCCCTGTGAATCAGAGGAAGAATGGCTTCCCTGAACTCAGAAAAGGATATWGATCAAGGCCTGCTTGGCTCATGTAGCATCAAATATGAATAGTGAACTCATGTGCTCACAGCTTTAAGTCCTAGCAATGAGTCAGAGCTGTTTGAGAGCAGTCTAGAGTCATTTCATCAGGTAACAACATGAATGGAGCTGATACGGATTGGAAAGCTCCTTCAACTATCCATGTCCTTTACTAAAGTGAAAGCATTTTGTACTGTTCTTATGCCCATGGCAGGTATGTCTGATACTCTAAGCGTAAGATCCCGTAAGTGTTGTTAAGTGATCCTTGGCACAAAGACCTGCACAGGCAGATCTTGGGCAACACTGGCAAAAATTATCTCCGCAGCAAGCACAGAGGCAGCACATACAGTGCACAGAAGGTAAAGACATTTACAAACATGGATCTTGCAGCATTCAACATGGAAAGAGGCAGCAGTTTTCCACTACACTGGTTTTGGAAAAGCTACTCTGAGCAAGAATGGAAAACATTCTCCCATGTTAAGTTCAGTATTTTGAAAACTAATTCAAGATAGTTATGTGTTGATAAGGTTCATCACCTCTAGATTTTTTTACTAGTTCACCAAGATATCTGCGTTAAATGTCTACCAGTTACAGTCAGAATCAGTGTATTGAAAGAGGTCATAAAAAATTAAGAAGGCAAACTTTATGAAAAAATGAACCTTGACTCTCCACATATGCATAATGGTATTTGAAGAACGCAATATTGAAGGTATGCATTTTTCCCTTTGAATTTCTGTTTTCTAACATTCCTCTTGCACATTCTGAAAGAAAAATTGAACTTGATAGATTAGAATATAAAAAGTGTGAACCACAGGATGCTCTGAAACTGATTATACAATCCAATACAAATATTCATTCTAGAAACCTCTAAAATTGACAGTCTGATCTCATATCATTTACTAGCTGCAAACAATAAAAAGTATTTTTGCTTTTGCTACCTTCAATCTATGATTTTATGACTGGTTAAAGATGCATTTTTCAAGGCTATCCAAAATATGCATCATATAATATACATCACCACAGAGGAAGTATATGTAACACATTTAGTATTCAGCTACTCTTTATACTACAGCAATTAGGTTCTCTCTCCTAATTTAAGCTTCCTGGTGGTCAGTCTGTCTTGTCTATTTATCTACTGCTTATCGGTTCAGACTATGCTTGGAGCAATTCACCATACAGGTAACAGCACAGCTGCCAGACTATTTTAGATTTAGATTTTGTTTTAATAGTTTATAGATAATTTATAGGCATTGCAGTGGAAAAAAAAAAAAAAATCACAGAAAAAAATCAGAGTCAGAACCAGAATACAATATATTAGAATGACTGACGAGCCCGAGAAAAAGGCATCTCGGTCTGTTCTTCACACTTGCTGGGTTATTTAAAAAAAAAAAAAAAACCACCACAACCACCACTACTTTTCTGCCTCWATGGCCAAGGAGTTCATAAAGGAAGAAGGGGTTTTTTTTGGGTGTGTTTAAGCGTGGATTAGTTCTGCTTTTGTCAGTAGGAGCACAGAGAATCCCCTTCCCTGCCTCCAAACAAATGAAAACTTTGTTTTAAGGTACTAACTGTTCTTGTTTTAGTTCCACAGGTAAGTAAAACAAGCTTGAATTATAAAGACAATTACACTGATTTTAAACTTCATCATTTTATACGCAATTAGTAGAATTGGCCTGAAAAGGTTAATTATCAAAACAAATAAACAAACAAAAATCCACACCAAATAACATTCAACCTTCATATTTTGGGGGCAATTTAGAGTGGGTTATTCCTGAAAACTGAAGTATTAAGCTATTGTTGCCTAACGAGCTAAATTTGTCTTAATGAATTAATACTCYGCCTGCAAATACTGCTGCCTTCAAATTCCATCAATGCTAATCTAAATAGATTGATACTTGCTGGAATAAACAACTACGAAAAGGCTGTGCCAAAGTTACACAATTACCATACTCAAGCATTACTGACCTTTCACCTCTCAGTTGAAATAAAAAATTTCCTGCTGTCCCTTTCAGGATGTCTTCCCCCTCTGATTTGCTGATGTGCTCATTATAAATTAATTGACTCTTTCCACTGTTAAATGGTGTGTGCACCCTTTGTTCTGCTAAGCAGTTTTCATTACTTCTGCAAAGATTATTCATCATAACTGGCTCTTCACAATTCACTTTTTCTTCATCTGAAACAGCCAAAGAATATATTTTGTGGAAGTGTTCTCACACAATAAAACAAAGAGGAAGGAATTCAAAATTAAGTAGTTAATTTTTTATGTTATAAGATCAGAATTTGCTCATATCRGTTTAAAAAGAAAGCTTAAAAACACTAAAGCTTTTAGAGCAAAGTGTTCTGCTTTGCATACAAGTCTTTACAGACATCCTGCTGCAAGTCACCTTAAAACTTCTTTCAACTAGCATTTTGATTTTATTTCCTTTTTACAAATAGGCCGATTGTATCTTGCCAAAAAAAGATTATTTTTCAGTATTGGAATCATGAGGCTAAAGCAAAAGGTAGCTGTTAATCTTGTACCTCGGGATGTATCTGCCAGCAACCTGCACAAAAAGCTTATGTGAACATCTGCATGACAATGAGGGAGGAAAGCAAAGTGCCTCCTGTAAAACAAAGGCTACAGCTACTCAGCTTGTCGACTAATAACATCAATGTATAAGGGTAATGGATTAATTAGACTATGCATATGAGAACACGATAAAAATATATATTTACTAAAGAGCTACTGAAGAGGTAGTAAAATCTCATACATTTTAAGGCCAATTACCTTATTCTGTAATAAGCGGGGATTTTTTTTAAAAAAAGCAAGATATTCAGTGCATCATGTAAAGTATCAGCCTCATGCAATGAAAGAACTGGAGTTATTACAAATGAGTCTTTGTTAAAGATGGAGTTCCAGTCTGTTTTATAATGAGCCAGTTTTCTGGAAAGCAAGACATCAAGTCATTTCCCATCYGTGAGAAAATTACTTCCAAATCCCATGTTTCAGTGACTTTTATTAAATCTCCACTAATGAAACTCTTAACAAAGTACGCTGAGCAAATACAATGTACTTGGAGGCCTGTCAAGGCATATCACTCCTCTTTACCCTTCCTTTTATACTCAAGAATCCATCAAACAATCTCCTTAGATGATGCCATCTCATTATCTCTTTAAACACTTCAGCATTTAATGCTAATTTTACCCACTAAAGCAAACATTCAGAAGAAATCGCCTTAAAAATGTCAAAGGCATCGGAGTAGCTCAGGAACCTCCAGCCCATTATCAGAAGTCACTATCACTTTTGGAAATCATCTTTGCAAAACTGTCTTTAAGCCATGTAAAGCTCTTTAAAGCTTACTCTGAAAGGATTTGGAAATCTGTATTATGTTAATATAATGACATCTGTAATTAAGAAAAAAAGAACAAAAAAATGCTCTTTGCTGTAACGTCTGTGAAAGCATTCTTACTCTGATCAGAGGGAAATATTTTACCATGAAGGGAATTTTCCCGAGAAGTTCTTTGAAATAAGTCTGCTCGAGCATTGCTAACTCTTCTAACCTCCTCAGGATCCACAGGAGTTTTTGAAAAGGAAATGGAAGAATCTTCATCTTTTGCTGAATAGATTAGTTGTGGTTTCTGTCACAAAGATAAAACAGCTCTTAGAAAAGTATAGACAACTTCTTTTCACATGGAAACATTTTTTCCCCACTATTTTTCATATAAATAATTTCTTCAACTTTAGAAAAGCATACATGGGAATAAGTAGCAGCAGTTTAATAACCGTAAGTTTCCTCATTAAGAAAACAAAACCAAATTGTAATAAAACTATTCCACTGAACAAGCTACATCACTCATCCCAACATCACTAGAGAAAGCTATTTAAAAGCAAGCATTCAGGGGTATAAACACAAAAAGAACTAACCTTGAAAGAGCAACTGAAACTTAAAAAGATGTATCTCCTTCATACATACTCATTTAGCATTATCTTATTTATGCCTATTTATCATAAAAATAGTGCAGAGACATGCACTAATAATTCTAAAGGCAGATCTATTCTAAGATTCTCGACTAATTTCTTTATAATAACGAAGGGTCTATTAGAAAGTCCCCAGCGTGATCTTTTGAGTTCTCCTGGGCATGAAGACAGACAAGACAGGAGATCCATCCCCGACACTCTGACTAGTGTAAGTCCTAAATTGACTTATTTGCCTCTATTGGCTGAAAGTTTTTGCACTAGTCTTAACAAGAGATAAGCTTGTTCTGTTTTTCTTCCACTTCCCTACATAAGAGTTAATTGAAGAAAATCTAACATCAGGATGTAAACATATTTCATATAGACATATGCATGCTTAGATTTTATTTGATCCTTAAATACACTGTTTTATCAAGATTACTGAGTTCTAGCATTTCTTGGATTGTTTTTCCCTACTTTTCCCAAAGAGTACTGTTCTGGATTAAAGAAATTGTACACAGCATTAACAAATGTTAATGTTCTAGTGTGCTCTGCTTTACAAAACATTAAATAAATGACTATGACATAACCTTATGTTTAATAAGATTAAATTTAAAAAAAACACACAGTACATATGTGCTTACAACATGAAAATACTTCAAAATTCTAGTCATCTTATATGATAAAACCAACTGTTGTTTTCATCCGATTCGTGTTAATGTCATTTAGAAATTTAATGCAATGATATTTTAACAGTTTAACGATTTTATTTTTTGGAAAAATATTTGACAACATTGATTTTACAAGTCTCTGATTAGCATTATAACAGGATTTCATTTTTCCCAAACTATTTCATCCCAAACTATTTCTACAGCACCCTTTCTGTAACACTATGGTGCACCATTCACTTATACGTTATATAAAGGATATCAGTTACTTAATAACGTGTAGTGCTATTTCAGAGAGTACTCACATGATCCAGTGGGCTGAGACGAATGCCAGAAACTGGTCTTGATTCAGCCAAATCAAAACTGGAAGCATGAAGACTAACAGAAAAATTAAATGTAACATGAATCAAGCATACTCCCTTTCCCCCGCCCCCTTAATTGCATGCTTCCTCCCTCTACCAATAACTATGGAAAAAAAMCAAAGAGGAAAGGAAGCGTAACAGTGTATGGCATATATATCTTTACATCCCAGTCTTCTTTCCATGAATGCTGTTTACCTTCGATACCTGGCAAGACAGCAGTGTCAAGGAAGAAGAATCCTGAGCCCAGCTGCACCTCTGCCCTGATACTGCTTATTTTACACGTKTACAACAGTTCTCCACTGCAAGCCTAAATCCATGCACACACCCAAGGGTGTTTAGCACCCAAGCCCTCYGACACAAGCTCCAGAACACTGCAGGGGAGAAAGCTCCTATTTGTGCAAGCTTGTTCCTTCCCACAGCATGTGCAGAACAAGTAATTCTCAGACTCCTTCCTTCTATAAGRGCACAACACTGTAACCAGTAAGGAATATAACATAAGCAGAGTGCCTGAAGTCACATTGCCATGAAAAGAGCACGGCCACCAACTCATTTTTTGGCCAGGCAAGCACATTTTGGCATGCCTTGTGTCATGCTAGAGAATTTCTAGATTATCTTAAGAAAAATATTGTTTACAGACATTTTTCCCCTTGTTCCCCACTACTCTTCATGCACAAGAGCCATGACTGCCTCTGGAGGAGGCAGAGGATCCAGAGGAACTTCCTGGATATGGAGATTRACACTAACAGCAAGCATCATTAGAAGAGGGCAGAGAATGTGATTAGGTAGAGATAATCCAGAAAGAACCATCATAAACAATTACAGAAACAAATCCCTTGTTACTAAAGGGTATTTGAAAATCTTAAAGCCAAGTACCTAAAAACTGAAGGGGGTCTGTTTTCAGGAGTTCGTGAGGATCCAGATCCAAAAAGTTTCCTTTGATCCTCTGTAGGTGTAAATGGCCTCCGAGTTCTTAGTGTTCGTAGGACGCTTCTTGCTTCATTTATAATCTCAGAACTGCTCTTCTGCCTTGGCATGGAAAGCCTGTAGAATGGTTCTGGCTTTTCTACACTTTTATTCTTGAAAGCCTGCATTCCTCTGCAAAGCTGTTCACAGAAGAACACACTACATTTATGTAGAAGGATATGCACAGAATATAATACTAACGTTTACGCTTCATCAATGTAGTATTAAGGGAAAAAAAAAGGATATTATAACAATATCCAAGTACTTAAGTGGTGGAAAATATTCATCAACACTGTGTTGCTGTGTCTGTTTCTCAGTTGCATGGCAGAATATTCAGAAACAGTAGAAAGCATATGACATGGAGATCCTYTAGTTTTTCAGTGGACCCAGAAAGCATCCTGATCAATGCAAAAGTACTTTCATGACTTTCACAGACAAGTGCACTCTACTCCCTGATACTGCAGAAAAACACTCGAGTACTTCTATGATAATCAAATCAGGAATTCAATAAAACGCTGCATAGAGATACTTTCCTTCCAACAAACTTAGAAGGTATTGATCTTACCAAGTGCAGCTTCCTAATAAGCCAAAAGACACTGTTATCAGCAATTGCAAAAGAGATGCAAGGAAGAACAGGCAGTAAGTTCTTTTCTCTGCAGGGAACTGCTCTGCAAGGCAGACAGACAACATTAACACAAGGTAAGTCATCAACCCAAGCTTTTGCTCAGTGCACTGTCCTGCTGCATCTTGTGGCAAATGCCTTGAGCAGTGAAAGACTTGCTTCATAAATCTATCAAGCTTCCCCTTCCACTCCCCCAAAAAATTTTTWAAAAAATACATAAATTATCACTTTGGTATAGTACATTGTAGATACCATCCTTTCATTTGTCAGCAAACTCCTTAGCCTTACACCAGCCCAAATTACCCCTCTGCTTTTCAAATTTATCTAAGCAGAAAAAGATATGTTTCAGCACTGTCTTCGAGCCAGGCTGGCCTGTGGTAACTTCTATTCTCTCCTACAGTTGATGACAATGAGCCAACATTAGATCAGACACTGCCAGTTTGGATATTTCTGAACTCTGAGGCAAAATTATGCGCGCACACACACACACTCCCACACCACTCACTTCTCCAGTTTTAGTTCGTTTCTTCCTGTTTTGTAGTTTTAAAACTTCTATCTGCTCTTTCTCTGCTTTCTTTCAGAGYCCCACACACTGGCACTGGCACATACACAACCCAAACTCTCCAGCTGAACTAGAGAAAACTGGATGCTGAAGAGTAGTGCATCAACCTCATCCACTTCAACATGCAGAAACAAGAATGAATCAAGAGCCAAAGTCTATCAATGCTCCCAGTACCTCTCATTACCAGTAATACATTACTTTTCTTCCTTATAACTGAATTTGGCTTCGTATTCTTTCCTCTATTACAATGYAATTCAAAAGAATTAAGCAAGCAGCTTCGCGGTAGAAGTATGTTTTGAGCAACTGTATTTCCTGCTGAATAGGAAAAAGTGGATTATCATTCCCTCTTCTCCCAAATAGCTGGGGCCAAGACTTTGACCTTTAAGTGGAAGGTCTTTTTTTGTAGACCATATGTGCAGCATACTAATTTAGTGTACATGGAAACAATAGCTATAAATAAATAAGAAAGCACAGTGATCAATACRATCCTACTATTCAAGCTAATTCACATTTCTTCTTTTCTGATCCATCTATTTATAGTCACCTGGTGAAATTATTATATAAATCTTTGAGTATTATAGTGTCTTACATTTAATATCTGAAGACTTTTGTTCTCTTTGATTTTTGGAATCTCTCCGCCCTGCCATTGAATGTCTATTTTGTAGGATTTAAGTGTTTGTTCTTATAGTCAAGGCAAGAAGCAACCAGAGGTATCYATTTCTGTGAAACAGCACCACCTTTGAATGCCTTCAATTTTTGCTACATTTTGTCAAATCTACTTTCAATCGCAAACTGTCTGTTCTAGAAGTCATTTATTAAACCAGCACAATTGAGATAAAACTTCCAACAGAAATAGAAAAACTCCAAAGTTTCACATCTTACCTATTTAACTGACAAAGGAACTTTTCCACTATAAGCTTAATTAATAAATTCTATTTCAAACCGTCTTTCAACTCATTAAAAATAAAGTTTTAATAATTAATATTGCAAAAAAGACCTGCAAGGGAGCTGGAAGCTCAGAGGACAAAAGCAGAGAGACACGGGAATCAGCACCAGGTGGCAGCACTGAGCAAAGCCCAAGACTATTTCCACTGACCCTGACATAGCRTTCATATTTAATAATAATGCCATCATTGAGTGTTAAGTCAATGTTTCAGCCACTGATAGCCAGACAGAAAATGTAACCGAGCACAGACAAACAAGTAAGCAGGGTCAAAAAGAAATATGAGAATATATATATAGGATAAGAAAATCTAACTCTTGCAAGAAAGTACAAGAAATAACACAACTGAAAAAGTTTGCTCTACTATCACAGCTCCTCTACTGTTTTTTAATCTTCACATCAAAAGAAAGATTCATATTCTTCATTTTAAATGCTTCAGCATTTGCTCTGCTGCAGCAAAATGAATGAAGTTTCATACTTGATCCTCTTGTAAGGATTTCTATCGAAACTATTTTCAAACTTTTACTTCAAAGTATTTTAGTTGAAAATAAGACATCATCTAGTTATCAGTGCTTCTTCCTGAAAATCCTGCAATAATCCCATTTGGCTACCCAATACCACTCCTTCACAGCAGGAGACTGAAAACAGGGACAGAGGCTGGGAGAGGTGCATCTTGTCCCTCACGACTGTCACCATTTCCCCTGGGAGCCTTTAACTTGCACAGATGAAGAGTTCTCCTCAGCCTCCACACTGCAAGGCTTACAGCAGTCTCTGAAAAGTTGTACTTGGTCTCTTGCCATATTCTATTCCCCCTCAGGGTTAACTCCAGAGGTCTCATCATGCTGTACAGTATGATGAAAGTAGGAGGTGTCAGTTCAGTACCCCTGCTCAAGAGGGCAAGCTCTGACAGGTAGCAGAGCCCTCCTGTCCTCCAAAGTGAAGTGGCTGCCCTCCTGCAGCATCCACCCTGAGCAAATGAGCACAGCGATCCCATCAGATACTGGGATACAGCATGTGCTAGTGGTACTCTCCTACCTCAGATCCCAGAGCAGCACCATGGGATCACACTACAACACACAGAGTGGGTATCTCTCCATGAACACTAAACACAGCACTGCATTTCATGGGACAAATGYGAGTGGAATACAGGAGGAGGATGCCTAAGTCACTGTAGGAAAGAAATAAACTTGAGCTAGATATTAGTCTAACATGAATGGAAAGATTAAAAATTGTTCAAAAGCCCATTAAACCTTTTCRATAAAAACTTGAGTACTACAGCAGGTGTTACCATATAAATTTTAAAGGCAACAAACTGACTGTTTAGCCAAACTAGTGAGGAGAAAGCTTGTGCTCAGGCTGTAAAAAACTCTGCTTGCTGACAGCCCAAGTCTCTAAAGTGTTAATATCCAAAAGTAGATTTAAGAGTTACTGTATGGCAGATTCAGTTATCAGATACAACAATATTTAAACAGTAACTCTGAAACAAACTTGCAGCACATCAGTCACCACTGAGATAAATTGAGATTCACAAAGGTTTGCAGTAAAGAACTCCATACCAATAAAAGAAATAAAATAGTGATAAATCAAAATAATAGTAATAAAAAAATACACAGTGATAAATCAAAATAATAGTAATAAAAAAATACACCTGCAGTTCATCAGAGATCCTGACTTTCAGTGTGGCCAGACGACACCACATCCAAGATGGATCCAACTGGACATGGCAGCACCTGTGGAATAAAAAATAAAGCTAAAACGCACCCAGCACTACAGGACAACAGAGCCAAACCCAGCACAACCAGGCGGCTCCCGACACCCGCTGAGCACCAGCCACCGCCCGCGGCCCCAGCGCGAAACGGCCGCGGCCGTTAAAGCCCAACGGCCGGGCGGGGAGGGGGGACTCCGCGCCGTGGCGCCCGCCGTTCCCATGGCAACCGTACACGCTATGGCCGCCCGGCCGCGAGCGGGAAGCCGCAGGACAGGGCGCCAGGGCCAGGCGGGAGCCTCGCTCACCCGCGGCGAGGGAAAAACGCTCCCGGTGGTGCCGCCGGTCCCAGTGCCCCCGGTCCCAGTGCCGTTAGGGCGACATGCCAGGCTCGGGCGCACCTGCCGGCGGCGGGGCGGGAGGGGAGCGCGGCGACGCAGGGCGCCTGCGCGGGCGGGTCGCTCAGGCGCATGCGCGGCTGTGCTGCCGCGTCGGCCGCTCGCGGCGGAGCCGCCGCCATGGCGGCGGGGGCGCCATTGCGCCTTGGCCCCGCGGCGCCTCGGCCGGCCCCGCGAGCGTCTCCCCGCACCGCGGCCGCCACCGGCCACCTCGGAGCGGCGGGTGCCGTGGGCAGAGCCCCCGCTCGCTGGCTGCTGCGGACTGTGTCCTCAGCCCCGTCCAAACTCACGGCGGAGCTGTCATCGCGAAATGACGGCCGTTTTTTGAGCACTTCTGCCAATCAACCAACAACACCAAAAAAAAAAAAAAAAAAAACACCACTATTATGTGAAATTTATTTAAACTTTTTTTTTTTTTTTTTTAGATTTTAAAATCGTGAAAGACTTTGGTGCTGGTATCCAAACTAATTCTCAATTTCGCGAACTTAAACCTCAGTAGAAATGAGGTCTATCCAGATGTCCAAGCATACGGAGCATGTATTTCAGTGCCATTCAGAATTCTTTAACAGTAGACACTGCTCGCCAAATGATCATCRATCATACTTGGGTTCATCCTGTCGCTGATCTGTAACAGCAGCCTCTGACATCATTCTAGCAAAACAAACAGAGATGTCATCTCCAGTTTCCCCTATTTCTTTCCTCTTTTTTCAAACAAAACCAAAAACAACAGTCCTRCCTGTAATCTGCACAAGAATCTTCCTGCCATATTCAATTTTTCAATTTCCATTTCACAGACCATCTGGTACATGCTGCAAAATAACCTTCATGTTTCACATCACCTGTGGTTTACTCCAAATGAAACAGTTCATTTTACAGCACTTGGAAACAACCCCTGTATTTAAGTTAGCTAATATGTTTCGAACAACTTTTTGAAAGTCTCCATTATATGTCTTGGGGGAAATCTGTCAGGGGAAAAGAACACTGGTTATAGACGGACTTTTCTGAACATTCCTTGAAGTTCTTTGTTCAAATTTGGCCAAAATGTAAAGTCTTGGAAATTGCAATGATCATGATGATGGTGTTGCATGGTGCGATGTGGTCATTTGGCAGCACCCTGAAAACTGCATCACTCACCCTCACATTGGCCTGAGCTTGATGTCCTCCCTGCCYAGTGCTGTGTCCTGGGGAAGTTACACCAGTTTTGCAAGTGAAATAAAATTCAATTGGTTTGTTTGTATTGAAACAAGGCATGCAAAGAGGCAGGACGTGTTATTCCAGCTGAGCACTGTGAGCCTCATACCAGCTGCACACCCCCAGTGTGACTGTCCCGCTATCAGTGATGACTTGTCAAGAGAGAGAGATGTTTAAGAAGTGTCAAGATTGTTGGGTTACAGGACCCCTTCGAGAATCTCCCCAGATGTGCATGTTCAGGTCACTTAAAGCCGGTGCATTAACACAGTGATCTTGTTTGCTTTCTCAAGGCTTCTAAATCAGCGTTCTTGGCCTTTCTTCCTAACTCCCCCTTCAAACTGTAGCTACCAGCTGCTGGTGGGAGGGAAAGGGGAGCGCATATTAAGAGTAGTGAAATGTCAGCATTGGGCAAGAGTCCAAAAAAGCAAAAATTCAGAACTTTCACAGAACAGAAACAAAGTTCTTGCAAAGCACAGAGTGGGCACTTCCATCATTTACAGAAGACACTGGCTTCACACCAGTAAAATGCAGTTATCACTGGAACAAAACCAGATGACTCTACAAAACCAGATGACCAGATGACTCTACAGTGGTACCAAATGAGTGAGTATATATTTTCAATATATGATGCTGTAGAACTTGGACTTCCTGATTTTTATCCAGGAAATCTAAGACAGAAGTGTCTGAGCATGTGCAGCACAACACGTGAGCAGTAATGCCGGGCGTTCTGTGCATGTGTTGAGCAGATTATCTGTGAATATGCAATAAACTGGATGTTTCCAGAACACATTGCACTTAACTGCATATATAGAGCCTGCCTGCACGGCACATGTGCTGCAGATCCAGAGCGTCCTGTGACGTCTCAGGCTCATTGTTCAGGTGCTAGAATTCCACATATGTGGTTATTTAGGCAGAGATGTGACAAGGTCTATGTATATCTTGATATCTATATCTATATATCTATCTATAAATATGTACAGTATTTTCAATCCATACATRCATTTGACATGTGTGGTAGCTATTTAAGAAATGTGCTTGTCTGTAATGCCTGAAAATATCATAGAAAACAAAACAAAACAAAGCACTGTCACTGATTTTGATGTCTCTACTAGATTCAGGAAACGCTGTTMAGCGAATGAAAAGACCCTGTAGGACTCTTCACATTTTTTTTTTTGCAGGAGATCACTGAATTACAGCACACTTTTGTCATCTGGTAGACATTTTGGGGTTTTTTTGTTGTTGTTGTTTTTCCCAGGTACAATATTCTGTGGTTTACTCCAACTTATGCCTTCTGTGTCAAAGCCAAGCTGTGCTGTCGTGCCTCTGTAGCCACACTCGCCTTTTTAGCTCCATTAATGATGGCAAGATGGATGGGGAGGCAGAGGAAGACCCCATTCCAAACATGCAGACTTGGTGTGCTTTCTCCCAAATAGCACTGATGGAAAAAACCTGCCCTGAGAGATCATCATGGAGAAGCATTCCTTTCATCCTACATATTCGAAAAAAGAGCAAAGGAAAAATCAACTTCATCTCATTTCCAGTGGTCTGCCCAGCCTGAAAGGACCGTGCAACAAGAACTATTTAATTTTACCTAGCTCACAGGAGACTGAGCATCCCATGTAATGCGAAAATGGCTTTCCAGATCAGCATGGCTTTCCAGAAAGCACCACCTTCTTCTTCACTGCCTGCTCTTACCAGCTCTTTCCTCAGGGTGAATGTGCTGGAAGGCTGCCATGAATTTAACTTCCAGGCCTGAAATTTGATCTCATCCAGTGTTCACAGAACGGCTCAAAACCACCCTTTGCTTTGGTGAAGTCATAGTTTGTTATGTCCTGCAACTAGTGATCAACTGGTGCTTGTCTCTGCGTTCTGCTCCTCTGTGATACCCACTATTTTAGGCTGCTGTGGCTTTTTAGGTAAGAAAGAGGTGTTTTGGCTGTCATCAATAAACAAGGGCTCTCTTTCTGCATTTATGGGACAGATGGCATGTCACAATGTGCAACAGCTGCCCCACAAGTATCACTGTCAATTGTTACATGATTTTCATTGATTTTGCACATGCCTAATTCTCCAACTGGTTAAGAAAAACAGGAGGAAAGGGCCTTTCTAATCCAGGAATCTAGATCTGATTCCCTGGAGAAGGAATTATATGGCTGCTCAAAGTGGGAAAATGAGGAAATTTGCATTTTCAAATCCCCAAAGAGCCGGATCTCATGAAAAATCCGACCCCAAGAATACAAATCATCTTCTGCAGGGAAGCCACCCTTTTCTGGAAGAGCATAAAAGTGAAGAGAAATCAGACAGAAGACTGGCTAAAGGGTGAAATTGACTGCTAGAGAAAACATAACTTTAAAGCAAATTTATTAACTGAGTCAAATGTTTAAAAAACGAAGTGATCATTATGCCCTGAGTACAGTTCTCACCTTCCCAGTTTTCAYAGCTGTAAAATGCTATGTATAGGGAATTATGAAAATGGGTTATTCTAACATTTTAGGTAGCTATCACATTAAAGTTTAGATCATTGCATGTATGAAGTAGTTCAGAATTTAAAGACATTTTGGAAACTATATCCACTAAGATTTGAAATTTAATTTTCATAGAGCTGAAGTGTATTTTCCACAAATAGGACGAAAAATAATTCATTTGTTTTCATTTGTTTTTATTACTGTGGTATTCAATTTTGAGTGCTATTTTAGTAATGGAGTTCCTCAAGGATGTATCCTGGGGCATATTTTTATTAATTATTTTAAAATTGGAGGATGGAGTTAATGAAATTTGCTGATGACACGAAAGTAGGAGACATCATTAATACAGAAAGGAATTGCAATATGACACAGGAAGAACTGAGCAACCTTGACAGCCAAACTAATAGAAATGGAATGACATTTAATATCACAAATTGCAAGCTCATGCCTTTGAGAACTAATACAAATTTCCCTCACAAGTTGCAAGGTCATCAGGAAGCAGGGAAATGCCTGCACATGCAAGTTAACCACRGGGCTCAAATGGGAAAGGGCTGTGGGTTCTAAGCTGGTCTGGAGAATTCAGACTGAAAATTTTAAAAAGGTTTAAAATCACTGGCAAAGTCATATTCTGAAACAGCCTCCACGGAAGAGTGGAGAAGGAAAAAAATATATTAAAAGTTATGTTAAAGTAGTATGAAATGAATGGTATGGGGGAGCTGCCAGAAATAGATGAAACTAAGGCTCAGTTGTCCTTGTCACTATTCCTGTGAAAAAAATCCCTTCAAGTCATTAGCTATTCATAAAAAAAGAAAAAGAAAAAGAAAAAGAAAAAGAAAAAGAAAAAGAAAAAGAAAAAGAAAAAGAAAAAGAAAAAGAAAAAGAAAAAGAAAAAGAAAAA